CATCGTTCATTTTAACAATTTGAGTTTTTAATTTTAAATTTTTATAATTAAAAATTTTTAAAAAATATTATATTTAATTTTTTTTATTATAATTAAAAACTCTTAAAAAATATCACATTTTAACTCGAATCCACGAAACGAACGGTAGGCAAACGGCGTGACAATCCACATTAGCTCCATTCCAGCAGTCTCGAAAAAAAAAAGAAAAAAAAAGATTAAAAAATTAGCGGTCACAGCACAGAGTCAGGGGATCGAACCAGAGAACTCCGTAGCATGTTATTGATCGCCTACTCATTAAACTCTGCCAACGCTGATCCAACTAGGATACTAACTTGAAATCTCTATCGAAAAAATGGTTATGGCCAATTATTACTTTAAAATTGGTTTAAATTGTTTGAATTAGATTATGATTTATTTTACTCTTGTATGTACGTTTATTTTTAATGATCACTGAGAAAAGCTATACCATAATTTCTCCCACCTTTCTAAATTTATTATTAAATAAGTGATACAAAGGAACGTTGTAATTTATTAGGGGAAAAAAAGAAGGAACGTTGTAATATGGAGGATTAACAATTTAACATGCGATAATTATAATACTTACAAGAATTATCTTTAAATGAGTAAAATTAGAAGATAATACTTAGAGACAGATTACGTCTTTGATCATAATATAGGACTACTGAAACATCAATTTTGGTTTCATAGATTTAATAAAACTATCTATGATCAAAACATTAATTATCTGTATTTTTGTAAATATTCTTTGAGCTTTACATGCTTAAATAGGATATGATTAGCTACTAAAACTTATATACACGAGAGTCCTCGTTCATTTCACCAATTCGAGTTTTCAGTTTTAAATTTTTATAGTAAAAAGCTCTCAGAAAATGCATTAGCTACTAAAACTTATATACACGAGAGTCCTCGTTCATTTCACCGATTCGAGTTTTCAGTTTTAAATTTTTATAGTAAAAAGCTCTCAGAAAATGTCACAATTAACTTTTTATGCTACAGTAAAAAGCTCTCAGAAAATATCACATCTCAACTCGAATTCGCAAAGTGAATGAGACCAATGACTCAAAATAATACAACACCAAGATATATGCATTGTGCAAATATAAAATTCATTTCGTTATGATATATTGGCTAGTGAACTTATATTTTTCTTTTTCCCTAGCATCACTACTGATATCTTCATCTGCCGATCTTCCTAGCGACTCTATCATCTTTTATGATCCCCTCTAAATTGTAACCGGAATGATTGGTGGATCTCTGGGACCACAAAGGATTAGCAGTGTCTTTTCCAAATTTGCTCTCTTTTAATTTCGTTTCTGCTTTAATGTCAATTATTAATACTCCAATTTCTTCATTTGGGGGACCGGTAGGAGAAGAAAGGGATCAACACAATCTAACCAAAATTTCCGCCTCTTTACAACAACTCAAACTATGCTAATTATTTTATATTTTTAGTCAAAATAACTAATAATTTTTTTTTAAAATTTTTTTCCATTCCAACCATTAACTAAATGGTTAACTATTTTATAAAAGGTCTTTCACTCTAGCTAAATATAGTTTAATATGAAGTGACTAGTCATTTCATTTATGTATATTTTATTATTTTAATTGTAGAGTTGTTTATAGTCCCCCAATTTAAAAATGGGAGACAAGTGTCTCATGTGCCATCATAACAGGATCATGTGTCAATCGTAACCGGCTAAAACCCTAACGTAATTCTTTTATTGAGTTGTTACAGTTACTATTTTGAAAACCGGAAATCGTTTTCAAACATATAGCAATAAACAACTGTCATATACACATGTCATGAATAATTATATGAAAAATATTAAAAGGCACATCAATAAACCCCTGTCGGTTTTACTATTAATATCAATCATTCTATCGTAACCAACTGTCATTTTAAACCTAAATAATATTGTCGTGAAGAATTATATATGTCGTGTTATTTTTTTTATTGGCACATCCAGTCATGCATGAACATTTGTTTGGAGCGGTATATGACAGTGTTTTATTTTTCATATTTTTAGAAATGACTTATGGTTTCCAAAATAGTAACTATTACGACTTAATACAAGAGAATTACGCTAATTATTTCATCGGCTACGCTAAACCTTTAATCTTTTACAATGAGGGAAATTTTTCCCATAAAAATAGTGAGGGACCACAGAAAAAATATTTAATTGTAATAAATGTAAAGATTCTTTTATTAATTCAATAAATATTATAATAGCCTATATTTATCTAAAATAAGGAATATGATTGGAGTGACTTATGAAAAAATTGCTCATTAAAATAACTTTTTAGCAATTTTAGTTAGAACTTAGCTAAAATTTAGAGAGTTAGCTACTTCTTCTTTTTCCTTTTTTTTTTGTTCCACTTCAAGGTCAATTTTATTCTAATTTATTTTTTTAGATGGAATTTTACGGTAAATAGATAATATTATTGCAATAATTCACTTGGAGTAACGGATTAGCAATTAAAAAAAAAATCACTTGGAGTGACGCTACATGCACCCAAACGTTTAACAAATATAATTATTAGCATTATTAGTCTGCGAATTATGAGTAGTTTGATACTTTAAAATCTAAACTTTTAATTTAAACAAAATATTATGTCATGAAATTTTGTTTTTTTCTTTTATAATTTTAGTACTTGATTCTAAAATAAATTACCCCAAGGAATCCAATACAGTATAAAAAAAGTGACCCAGTAGAAATCTGAATTAATTATACACAAGTTATTGTTATGTAACATAAATTATATAACTGATCACCGATAGCTTAACATAAAATTTTATGAGGGAAACAAATAAATTTTTAATAGTGTAAAGAATATGTGGCGATGGACCTGTGAAGCTGGCGCCATAAGCTTAACGTTTTGGAGATCCAAATCCTTATGATTATATGCAAGAATACCATGAGTCGTATAATCAACCCATGAATTATCAGTACTACCGGCAGTATTCGAGAATGCCAATGTATAGAGATACAAATCATTATAAGTATATAACACAATATGATCATCAGTCATATCAGCCAATGAATTATCGGTACAATTACTGTCCTAGACCAGCGCCGAATTTGTCTACATATGGGAGAACACAGGGACAACATCGGATGATGCCAACGTATTGTGATCCAATTGCGTCTAATTACATGGATAAATCTGATGTTACGTCTGATGTTCCAGATGATGTTGAAATATTGTCTGAAAGATGACTTAATTAATTAAGATCCGAATTAATTACGTTGCTCGAGTAGAATAAAGTGCATAAATCAAAATAGACACGCAATATGGTATCGCAGTTCGGTGCGCACACCTACTCTGCGGGGCCACGCTCAGACAGTAAACAGTTTCACTATGTTCTAGAAATTACAAACACCGGACGAACTTATTCACTCAAGGACTCCCTCATAGACAGTGACGCTGCTGTGACGAATCTCCACAGTGATTGTTTAGCGTGCACCACACGTCTTCTAAACTACACGGTGAACTCCCTTCGTCCGACAGAGCTTCTTCTCGAAAGCAACAAATCCCTCTCCCGAAGGACGATCTCAATAACGCACTAGGCTCACAAAAACTCACAGACGTTTCTCTGAATATTTTCTTAGTAATAAGCTCTCAAATTCACAGACTTTTCCTCTTGAGATATTCAATTAAGTCTATACACATATACTGAAACAAAGCCTTTAAATAAAGTCAAGAGAATCTCATTCAAATATACTCTTGATAAGATCTCTATTATCTCCATAATTCTCTCTCTAGATAGGTTCCAAAATATCTTCACATTATCTTCTCAATCTCTAATTCAAATAATGCAGCAAACTTTCAAATCTCTAATTTTGAACAACTTCATTATCTCCACGTAAATGCCCATAAAAAACATCCACGCACAAATATATATATATATATATATATATATATATAAAGCACTTGCTTTTGAACTTCAAATATCAAACGGATTGCACATTCATTTGCAAGACACGTAGCTCTATTGACTCCATCTTCTAGATGATCTCCAATAACACTTTTTCAATTTTAAAGCTATGTCGGACTTGGTTAAAGAGGTATCTTTTTTTTTAATTTTTATTTTAAATTTTGTACAAGCCCATATTATTATCATCATCATTATTATTATCATCATTATCATTATTATTATTATTATCATTATTATCATCATTATTATCATTATTATCATCATCATTATCATCATCATTATTATTATTATCATCATTATAATTATAATTATTATTATTATTATCATTATTATTATCATTATCATTATTATTATTATTATTATTATTACCATCATTATTATTATCATCATTATTATTATCATTATTATTATCATCATTATTATTATCATCATTATTATTATTATTATTATTATCAAACTGTGTGATTTAAATTGCAGTTTGAATTGATGTTTAGATGTACAGTTAAAGTTTTAATTTGAGCATGGAATAAAATTTAAATTTGTGTTTGGTAGGTATGAAAAACAAAGAGAATAAACACCTTTTTATTGTTAAAAAATGATTTGAACATTTAAACTTGAGGGAGAACTAAACTCTAAATTTGATTGTTTAACTCAGTTCAAACGGAAAATATAATTTAAACTACATACTTACCAAATACTAGTTTATAAATTTTTTATAAACTTTATCACTTATGTAATATATTTTCTAAACTTTAAAATGTATATATTATACTCTCTTAATCGTGATATGTCTCTAACGTTCCCCTATTCATTTGATTCTTTCTATATTAAATGGTAGTACTTAATATTACGGATACCTTATAACCTATAGCATTACTATACCAATATTGATTATAGAGGAGGTCTAGCATTAATGTAAAATCGTGTCAACCATCAGTAAGTGGACTGAACAGAGTACCGACAAAGTACATTCAATTCAAGCAAAAAGACAAAAACCACGGTGGACGAGACGAACAAACTGAAGAACTGCGAGGAAGGAGTGAGAGACAGACAGACTGACAGACAGACATACAGATACAGACAATACGCCGTGGGAAAAGGGTTACATTTTTTTTTCCGTGTCCACCCTTTGAATTCTTTGGGTTTTCGAGTTTTTAGTTTTGTGTGTGAAAAAAAAGGGAAAAAAAAAGAAAAAAAGAAGAATTCAAAAGGGGGTTTGTGCGCCTTTTGGTGGAGCCGTCACTGTCGCTGCTAGTTTAGAGAGAGAAAGAGAGGAGAGAGAGAGAGAGAGAGAGATGGAGAGTGGGAAGAGAGGAGCGGAAGCTGGGCCATCATCGGGTTATGGTGTTGGCGAGGAGCGGCAACAGAAGCACAAGGAAATGAGCCGAAAACCAAGCGAGCTTCGTGTTGTTCAAGAAGAGGAAGAAGTTGCTGATGAAAGTAAAGGTGGTGATGTTGGTGGGTTTGTTCCTGGGCCTCTGCTTTCTCTCAAGGAGCAGATTGAGAAAGACAAGGTTTTCTTGTTTCTTTTTTTTTTTTTTTCTTTTTTTTTTTTTTTCTATTCAAGTATTTCTTTGGTTAATTATATAAAAATTTCCGACTTTGAGGGAAAATTTTGTGTGTGAACTTGTTTTTGGGTTATCTGAGGTCTGGAGAATTTGTCCCAACAATGTTATGTGTGATTTTTCAGAAAAAAAAAAAGCGTTCAAATAAAGGGATTGTAGTGTTTGGGCTCAAGTTTTGTTCTTTGAAAAACTGAGCAAACGAGTTTTAGCTCTCCTATATATTCTGTTTGAAAAGCAATTTTGAGAAGAAATTGGTATATACCAATTTCCCAGTTTGTTTCATGCCTTGAAAATTAAAGATGTGGTTTTTTGATTCTTGGTAATTTCTTCTCAAATTGTCATAAGCCTGAAGTTAAACTTCTCCATCTGAACCATGTTATTGGCACTTTTAAAACATTTAAGATTTAAGATTAAGATTAAGATAAAGATTTTAAGATATAAGATTTAGATCTCATTAGCCTTCAACTGTGGTATATCAAATGGTCTTGCTAAGCTTAGCTAGTTAAAATTTGTTTGCTTACGCTCAAAAACAAAGTTTATATTCTATGTTTGAAATCCCTTTTGTGGCTTTACAAACTACGCCATATAACAGTATCCAATAAATTTCCAATAGTGGCGATCATCTTTATATCATCTAGTTTGGCGGGCATTGATATATGTGTGAATTTGTGGCTTGCATTTTAACTCTTTGCTTTGCAGGATGATGATAGCTTAAGAAGGTGGAAAGAAAAGTTGCTTGGTTCCTTGGAAAGTGATCTGAATGGTTTGTTATAAGACTTGTGTTATTATTTTTAACTAATTGTCACCCTTTATTAACTTTCATCTTTTGTTCAATCTTGTGTTCTGTTTTCTTAATTGGTTTTTCTTAACTAGGTCAAAAGGAACCTGAGGTCAAATTCCACTCTATCGGAATCATCTCCACTGACTTTGGGGAGATCAATACTTCCTTACCTGTTAATGAAGACCAAAAGGACCGTGTCCTTTTTACACTTAGAGAAGGATCCGAATATCGGCTTAAGCTAACATTCAGCGTTCTGCACAACATCGTTTCGGGCCTTACATACTCTAACACTGTGTGGAAAGGAGGAGTTCAAGGTCTGCAAGTCCTTTTTTTTAAAAAAAAACATGAGCACGAGAGTTGTTTGCGAATGTTTGTTGAACTCTCAACACTATTTATCTAGAGGATAGATGCGCTGGAATTGTGATCAATAAATCTTACATTAAATGTGAACTTTAGTAATATTTTTGTTTATATGTATTTTATGTTGATTTGGAAATGAAGTTATTTGGTGATGTTACAGTTGATCAAAGCAAAGGAATGCTGGGTACGTTTGCTCCGAATCAGGAACCTTATGCGCACGCATTGGAGGAAGAGCGGGCCTTACATACTCTAACACTGTGTGGAAAGGAGGAGTTCAAGGTCTGCAAGTCCTTTTTTTTTAAAAAAAACATGAGCATGAGAGTTGTTTGCGAATGTTTGTTGAACTCTCAACACTATTTATTTAGAGGATAGATGCGCCGGAATTGTGATCAATAAATCTTACATTAAATGTGGACTTTAGTAATATTTTTTGTTTATATGTATTTTATGTTGATTTGGAAATGAAGTTATTTGGTGATGTTACAGTTGATCAAAGCAAAGGAATGCTGGGTACGTTTGCTCCGAATCAGGAACCTTATGCGCACGCATTGGAGGAAGAGACCACTCCGTCAGGGGTTCTTGCAAGAGGGATTTACTCTGCAAAGCTTAAGGTTAGTGATGAGCAACTAAAATGCATATGATCGTGTTATTTTGCATAAAGGTTGATTTCATGTATATGATCATTGTCGATGAGTCGAATTTTTTGTTGGTTTTGTTTAATGCAGTTTGAAGATGATGATAGAAGATGCCATATGGAACTCAAGTATTCTTTCGAGATCAAAAAGAAGTCTTAGTATGATGGATTTTCTTTATCTATAAACCGATAAAAAAAAAAAGAATGAACTGCATACCTTTGTAATACTACTGATTAAAATTGCGTTCTAGGTGTAATGGAAATGTAAAACTGGATTTTTATGAATTTTTCTGATACAAATGCAACATTGAACTGGAATTTCTGGTGCTCATCTCCTAGATATTCAAGTTCTTATAACTGCTTTGTGTTCTCTGTTATTCTGCAATTTGACAATTAATGAGCCTAGTCCTACAAGGGACTTTACCTCGGACATTCACTTTATAAAAAACAAAGACTATGAATCATCGTTGATATTAGAAAAGAATAAATAAAGGATATGAAATGCATAATATTCATGATGCTTTTCGTTATAGAGATGTTAATTGGCAAGTGACTTCTATTTATCAGCTTGTTTCGCTAGAATCGCTACTTAGGAAACGTCAAAAGAAACGCTATGCAAATGGTTTGTTCAAAATAGAACTGTTAAATTGCCCAAAAAAAAAAAAAAAAAAAAAAAAAAAAAAAAAAAGTTTTGAAAAAATATGGAAATGTAAAACTGGATTTTTATGAATTTTTCTGATACAAATGCAACATTGAACCGGAATTTCTGGTGCTTATCTCCTAAATATTCAAGTTCTTATAACTGCCTTGTGTTCTCTGTTATTCTGCAATTTGACAATTAATGAGCCTAGTCCTACAAGGGACTTTACCAGCTTGTTTATAAAAAACAAAGACTATGAATCATCGTTGATATTAAAAAAGAATAAATAAAGGATATGAAATGCATAATATTCATGATGCTTTTTTTTATAGAGATGTTAATTGGCAAGTGACTTCTATTTATCAGCTTGTTTCGCTAGAATCGCTACTTAGGAAACCTCAAAAGAAACGCTATGCAAATCGTTTGTTCAAAATATTAGTGTTAAATTGGCCGAAAAAAAAAAAGAAAAAAGTTTTGTCAAATTTCAAGAAACGTTGATGGATATAGAATAACGCACACGTAAAAAAGAATTGTGAACTGTTCTAAAAAAAATAAAAAGAAAGTTACTTGCAGATTGATAATTTTCACCACAATTTCGCTTCCATTTCACCGTACTGATGGAAACAGCTCACTTAATTCATCCAAGTCATAAAAATAATTCTCATATGTATACGCACATATACATATATATGTGTGTGTGTGTGTGTGTGTGTGTATATATATATATATATATATATATATATATCAGTAACCTTGGCCAAATCACAAAGATAACGCAGAACCACTTAATGCTCGACGTCTGTCATCAATTACCTTAAAAGGGCTTCAAAATTTCTAATCACAAATCAATGGGATTAGCAAGAGTAATATCATGTTTTTCTACATGGAAAAAATGGCATAGGTGAATGCTTCCTATGATGATCGCGTGGTTAGTTAATGCTCAATTGCTGATACTATACTTCGCACTAAAAATTCCGTAAAGAATATAATCTAGCATTCCTTCTTATGAGCATCGAATTATTACATATACTTCCAGATGAACTCGAAGAAGACAATAATGTGCAAATGTTGCTCAGCATTCGTGGGATGCACTTTTCTGCAGATGGGTAGAGCTTAGATGCCAGGAATAAGACAAACATTGGCCAAAGATTCCAAGAACCTGTTTAATGTCATGCAAATTAATCGAGAATTGAGATGATGTAAAAACATTAGATGTTGAAAGGCGATGTCAAAGGAGGTGGTGTTGTAAATCAAAGAATCTAAAAGGGAATATAGTAAAAAGAACTACTATGTTGATTCTGATTTCCACACTATCGTAGCAACATGAAGTGGTTGGGTTTAGTTCTCAAAGGAAAAGAAAGAAGAAAGAAACTTTTTTAAGTAGAAAGGAGAAAGAAACTTGTTACCTTCTAATCTACAAGTAATTCAAGAGCATTTTAGCTGAAGAATTCTTCAACCTACAACTCTGTCCTAAATGTACATCTCCAAAAACGTATCTGCAGCACCATGGATGAAATAAAAAGAAAAGGCTCATGAGCAAAAAAAATAAAAAATAAAAAGAAAAGGTAAAAAGAGCATATTCAACTTTTTCTTTTTTCTTTTCTTTCTTTGTAAGTTGCTTTATTGAAAAGGAGTTTTAACCTGTATTCACAGTATTCGGGCCAAGCACACCGAGCTTTTCCATAATCCCAGTAGCAATTGTCATCCCTCAGAGGACCACGCTTGGCTGTTGGATATTAATAATCAGTGAACAGTGCTTGAAATTCCCAACAAAAGAAAGAAAGAAGGGAAAAAAAGGGCATGAAGAGAGGTTTACCTTTTGTAACAAATTTTGAGGTTGCCTTTGGATGGATATCGTGCCACAGCTGAAGCCATAACTCCCGCATTAGGACAGGGGATCTAACGATGTTCCTATGATTTGCTACAAGAAAATAAAGTGAGTTAACGTACATACTTATATAGAATTAATCAGTAAATTTGTAGTTTAGATCATCAACCAAAATATTACTTTTATCAAGCTCCCACACAGCTGTCCTCTTTCCAGGAATACTTGCAGCATCTTCATAGAAGGTAATGTACTTGACTCTAGGTGTCCGGGTCATGTTGGGAAAGATGTCTTCATCATGGTTATGTTCTACATTCAGTTCCACTTGTACATCAGACCCATCATGCTCTGACTGAAATTTGCATAAAAAATAATAAATTCAAACATTTTGGATACGCGTGACATGTTGTATCAAAAAGATCTTTCTGGCATTTTGGATTTGCCTACCTGAGGTGCCCTTGTTATGTTCACTTTTGGTCCAAGCCAACTCTTGCACCAAGAAAGAGAATGATATGGTACCTGTAAATGAATGTGTTCATCAACTGTTGAATCTGTCTATCTTTTTTAGTTGAAATCTTATGGTATTTGAGAAAGTGTTTCGCTTACCGTTTCATCCCCACTAACAACTCCTGGATTTCCTTCAATAAGATTCCCAGACCTACACAAAAAGTTGCAAGTAAAACTCGTCTACTCATATTTTTCCTATTCTTGAATGAAGATATATTTTACCCCATGATTTAGTTGGATTGGAAGATGGTTACCTTGAGGTCAGCGTTCCTTCAATCTCATAAATCACATCTGTAACGATCCAATTATCCGGATAAGGCTTGCCACTTGGTGCAAAATAGTAGCCGACCTGTTTGGCCGTAGCAAAGACGACAAAAGTGTATTACCACATCACAAGTAAACAATAAACAAGACCAACAAAGGCATATCATAAGAGAATTGATTATCTGAGGATGTATGTAACTTAACCAAATATGTCTACCAGCGTGAGTGGATGCTAATTACAAATGGCTAACCACAGAGATGAACCTTTCTGAGAACATTGGTCTGGTCACGCCATATAGAAATATTATTTTCAGGAAATACAGTTATACCTCAGTCTTCAAATCAGTGCCATAGATGCAAAAGACGTTTCTTATAGGTGGTCTCTCCCAAGGTGTAAGTGGGTTTAAAACTGGATCTTCATGATATGACCTGAAATATGGAGCGTTAATTAAAAAATGTTCATCTACGCTTCTAAGTTTCACAATAATTTGGGAGAAAAAGGCACATGATCGTAGGAAGCATGCATAACAATCAAGCTGTTTCTTAAGAGCATTGATCCAAACAAGTATGGTCACTACTATCAGATAAATCTACGAGTGGTCACTCGATACAATTTAAAAGAGAAACAAGACTTGTGAACTTTCATGCTATCACTGGGCAAGAACAGATTAAAAGTAATCACTTTCTGCTTGAAAGTAAAAGTAATCAGTTTGCGGCATATACTAAGGTATGATAAAATAAACTTAAATTGGTAACCATAAATTGTTAAGAGAAAGAGAAGAACATATTCAACTTTGAACTAGCAATTTGTAATTGCTTCAAGTTTAAGTTTAAACCTTCAAGCACAAAGAAAATAGTAGAAGTTTTATATTTATGCCGTATAACTCAGAAAAACAAGAATCCTAAATCAGAAAGATAAGTGTGCAAAAATTACGTACTTCTGTAATTGATACAACACCCTCTTACTGTCTGGATCATAATCCTCTATTGCTTTAAAAAAGGTTCCATCTGATATTTCTCGAGCAGAGAATGATAACTGAGTTGGAAGTCCGCATTCCATGTTGGAAACATTACTCTGAGCGATTTCAGTAATTGATGGATAGGCATCAAATCCTGCGAATGTAAGACGGCAACACATATAAGCATGATAATGACAGCAATATTGACAAAATTAAATTGCGACTCAATCTTTTACCATTATTTGATGGAACTTCAATATTGATTATATTTGTTGGCCACCCAGAGAAATTTAATCGAGATTCTTGCTCATCACAGTAATATGTGTGACGACCCTTCTTGCTACTCCAAGAGAAATGCTTCGAGTATGTGTTATCTGCCCTACAATACTTTGAAAATGGCATCATCCATAGTGAAGAAGCAAATGAATTGAACAACAGTCGAGTTGTCCCCTGTTTTTCACAAGATTATATGAAAAGCACGTGTTAGAACATTAACCAAAAAAACAAAGTAAAAGTCGTAGAATAACTGTTATGTTGAAATTTGAGAACAAGTTGGTGATACTTTGCTATATCTTCCTTTTTTTTTTTTTTTTTTTTGAAAATATGAACTTTGCTTATCCAACTCAATCCAGAAAATTTATGTTAAAAAGTTATGTGAATCCTAAATTTCTAGGATTTGATGGTAACGTGGATTGTAGGTCATGAAGGACGCTACAACAGTCATGCCAACAGAATGATATAAGAATACAATGAAGTGAGACAGACATAAATAAGATAAGGAAAAAGAATAAGTTGGGCAAATTTTCTTTCACAAAAGAGAGGTTTAAGCTACATGTTAGCTACAAACAGTTACACACAAAAATATAAACTTGAAGGTAACCTCAACTATAAAACCTCAATCAATTAAAACTTACCTCTTGGTCCTAAGTTGGTGTATACAAAACAATGCATTAGACTAGCTTAGATTTCCATCATAAGGCAGAGTACAATAACTTATAGGGAGAAAAATGAAGCTAAGAGAGCAGTCCTAACGTTATTCAATTTTTCTAGGAAAATTATCGAAGGCTAGTACGGATTAAATGAGGATTATGTCTTGCATCGGAATCGATGAACAGAAACGTAAGTACTATGTGCAACGGATAAACGCAAGACCTGAAAAATGAATGTAAAAGTAGTAACCTCAGAAAGAGGAAGACCAAATGTTGATCCAGAAAGTGTCGCTTTAACTGTATCAGGCGCACCAAGAAGAGGAGCTCCTGCGATCAATCCCACAATATTTAAACCATTAATTAGTACGCACAACCACACAAGCAATTAAACATTTCGTGCAAGTGGGTTTAGGATGAAATAAGCCATACCAACAGCAAAATAGGCATGAATATGTTCGTCCAGCCATTCGTTGTAATGTTTTGGTGCAATTTCCAGCTTTAACCATTCCAAGAAGTACAGGAATACATTATTTCCCAATGAATGAGCAAATACTAATGAGGGGCCTCCACGGAGTTTTAATGCAGTTTCAAATGTCAACCTGCAAAGAAAAACCAGCATTTTGAAAGTCTAAGTTTCACTAATTAAAACCATCTTTTAAAGAAACATAAATCTATCTGATAGATGATCACCAAAGCTACACACTTTAGCTTGTGAAAGTAGAGGTCTCGCTCCTCAAGCTTTGATGGTGAGAGTCTCCAATCATATGGAACAGCAATAATTGCATTAGCCTCAACACCAAACTCAATACACCACTTAATCCA